TAAAATTTATTTTTTATTTTTATTTTATGTCTATGACTGTATTGCCTGGATGTATGTGAGTGCACCTGTGCTGTGCAATGCTGAAAAGATCAGACGAGGGTATCAGATTCGCCTAGAATTGGAGTTAAGGACGGTTTGTAGCCGCCATGTGAATGCTGGGAATCAAACCCAGGTCCTCTGCTCTTAACCACTGAGCCATCTCTCCAGCCCCCCAAAATATTCTTTTTAAAGGAAAGCGAACTTCAAGTTCAAGGTTGTTGTTTCATACTTGTGAAAGAGGAGTTATAGTTATATAACACAACTTCATAGTTGGTTTAGCATTTGGTAATAATCTGTAGTATATTTCTGAGTAACCTTGTGAACATTTGTTCTGAATTATATCACATTTCAAAAAGTCTATCCAGCATTGGGCAGAGAGTTCCTTAATAACGTGGGAAGCACTGGGGGTGTGTTTGCCTCACATGTGCAAAGCCCTGGATTCCATCCCTGGCAATGCGAAAACAAAATGATGACAACGAAATAGTATTCACGGCAGGGGCTTCAGAAACCGGAAAATTTGAAACTAGAATTTCTATATGCTAGGGGCTGGAAAGATGGATACATGATTAAGAGCACATGCTGGTTTTGCACAGGACCCAGGTTCATTTCCCAGCATCCACATTCAGGTGGCTCACAATCACTTGTAATACCAACTCCAGGAGGAGCTGATGCCCTCTTGTTGTGTCTGAGGGCACCTACACTCACATGTACATAACACCTTCAGACACATGCAAATATACAAAATTAAAAACTAATAAAAAATCCTTAGATTTCTATATGCTAAGGTATAAAATTCAACACTACAGTTTTACTTTATTTTGGTCTTTTTGAGACAGGGTCTTCCTGTAGCCCCAGCTGGCTTGGAACTTGCCACGTAGACCAGGCTGGCCTTGAATTCACAGAGATCAGCCTGCCTCTGCCTCTGCAGTGCTGGGATTAAAGGTGTGTGCCACCAAGACTGGCTTCAACATTATAATTTAAATGCTGTACTATTATAATTAATGTTTAAATTGAAAGTGGAATTTATCAGTAGCATTGAGAATCTATGAATTATCCACAGTAACATTAAGTAATCATTACAATTATTTACATTTGTTTCCTTTGATCTTTGAGGAGGGGTGATTTTTTTTGGGGGGTCTTTTTGACACAGGGTCTCCCTGTAGCCCCAGCTGGCCTTGAACTGGCTACGTAGACCAGGCTGGCCTTGATCTCACTGTCTGCTTCTGCTTTCCAAGTGCTAGAACTAAAGTCATTCACCACCACACCCAGATGAGGGGTGATTTTTTAGTGTTTTGTTTATTTGATTTCAATGTTTAGGCTGGGACCCAGGGCCTTGCTTGCTAGTAAGTACTCTGCCATCTAGCTAAAACACAAGCTCTATGATTCTAATTTTAAATGGCTATAGCCTTAGCTCTGCTACTCTCTGGTTTCAAGATTTTAGAAGGGTTTCTTTCTTTCTCAGTTGTAATTGACATAGAGTAAACTATACATATCTTAAATGTGCGCTTTGATAAGTTTCACACATGCACACCTGTGAAGCCATCACTATAGTCAACGGGTAATAAATGCATTTTACACCTCCAAAAGTTTCTTCATGTCACTGGGGGTGGGTTTTGAGAGTTCATAGCCTGGCCCCACTTCCTGTTTGCTCTCTGTACTTCCTGTGTGCAATTGAGATGTGATCTTTTAGCTGCTCAAGAAGCTTGCTGCCAAGCCTCCTCTGTCATTATGGACTCTTCTGCTGGAACTATAGGTCAAAATCAACTCTTTCAGGCTAGAGAGATGGCTCCGTGGTTGAGAGCACTGGCTGCTCTTGCAGAGGACCAGGGTTCTATTCCCAGCACCCACATGGTGACCAACAACCATTATAACTCCACTTTCAGAGGATCTGATGCCCTCTTCTGACCTCCTCAGGCATTGCACAACACCAGTGCAACAACCTACATGCAGGCAATACACTATACACATAAAATAAAAATAAAGAAAATATTAAAAAAAAATCAACTCTTGGGGCTAGAGAGATGGCTCAGCGGTTAAGAGCACTGACTGGTCTTGCAGAGGACCTGGTACTCAATTCCCAGTACCCACACGGCAGCTATGAACTGTCCTTAACTCCAATTGCAGGGGAATCCAAAGCCCTCTTCTGACTTCCGTGGCATTGCACGACACGGGTGAACTCACATACATGCAGGCAGTACACTCATACACATAAAGTAAAAATAATAATAAATAAAATGTTTTAAAAAATCAACTCTTTCTTCTAAGTTGCTTTTGGTCATGGTGTTTGGTCATAGCAACAGGAAAGCAACTAAGAGAAGCATCATTGCTATGAAAGTGATAGGACATTTGAACCCAGTTACAGTAAAAGACAAAACCTGGAAAACTTGGGAAGAATCAGCTTGCTTTCTGGATGATTCTGGTTTGGGTCCAGAGCAGCTCTTATGGGTGGCAGAGCCTCCCGGGGGTTGCTGCAGGCTGGGGAGCCTGGGGTGTGCTCATCTCAGCCCGAGGCACTGTCATGTCCCAGTTGATATAATGACCTGCTTTTCACATATTTTCTTTCTCTCATTCATTCGTTTTCTCTCCTCTCTCTGTCTCTGAGATGGCCTCACTATATGGCCCTGGGTGACCTCTAACTTGCTATGTAGACCAGGCTGGCTTCATACTCAGAGAGCTACCTGCTTCTGTCTCCCAGGCGCTGGGAACAGAGATGTGTGCCACCATGACCTTTTAAAAAGATTTTATTTGTTTGTGTGTGTGTGTGCCTGTGTGTTCTGGTGCTTCCCGGCCTTTGGCTGTGGAGGCCAGACAGAGTCTCAGATCTCTCAGATCATCTCTCAGAGTATCCCCAGGCATTTTGGGGATACTTGCTTGTTTGTGTGAGTTCTGGGGCTCAGAACTCTAGTCCTCATGGTTAATCCAATGCCCCTCTTAAAGATCTGTATTCTCTGTTCTCATGCTCATGTATTTGTACTAGCCTCCCCTCCCCCAATAGTCCTTATTTTAAACTTCAAGTCTTGTATTTCCAGTTCCTCATTCTTTGCACACTAACTTGGATGCAAATTTAGACCTTTTATCCTCGAGAGTCATGAGATATACCAAAAATCAAAAGTAAAATAGTTTAGGCAGCAAGCAAGGTGCACAAGACAGCCCTTCTGTGCTGTAAACAGACCTGTCTCCCCTGACTTGTGATTTCATGTCATCTGAATATTTGTGTCCCTAGCCTGACAGAATCCTGTTGAGCCTTTTGATGTTGCCGTTATTTTTGCAAGCCTTTTGGAGAGCGCAGTCCAGGGCTGGCTTACATCAAAGCACATGTGAAGAACGGTTTTTGTTTTATGAATGAAACAGGGGGCTCCAAGGTGTAGTTCCAGAGCCTGACACTAAGGGGCAGCATGTACCAAAGGAAACTTTTAGGACCCAGCCGTGCGGAAGCACAGAGGCGCTAGGGAGCACAGGATGGAGGATCAAACTCTCAGCTCTCCAATCCAATTACAACATTTCAACCTTAGATATCTTTTCTAATAAGAGTTACCCACCACTTGAATTCTCCAAGTAAATAGTTTTGTGGTTTAGCATAATTTAAATGTATTTAAATACCTGGTTGAGAACCAGGTACTCTGTACAGCTTACCTATTTTACTGTGGCTATAATTTCAATGCTTAGCACCCTTGCCCCCCATATATATGTATGATTTCATGTGCCTGAGTGTTTTGCCTGCATGTATGTAAATGTACCTGTGTCATGCAATGCCTGTGGAAGCCAGAAGACAGTGTTGAATCCCCTGAAACTGGAGTTACAGATGGTTGTTAGCTGCCATGTGGTGCTGGGAATCAAACCCAGGTCCTGTGCAAGAGCAGTCAGTGCTCTTAATAGCTGAGCCATCACTTCAGCCCCTAGCCTGGCAATACTGAATTTCAAATTCAAACTCTATTTCATCAGAATGACTCTTTTTTTTTGGTCAAGGTGTCACTATATAGTGCTCTATGTAGACCAGGCTGGCCTCAAGCTCACAGAGATTCAGCAGCCTCTGTCTCTGCTTCTGCCTCTGATTCTACCTCTAGAGTGCTGGGATTGAAGTCATGTGCCACTCTACCCAGTCTCTCTCTCTCTCTCTCCTCTCTCTCTCTCTCTCTCTCTCTCTCTCTCTCCCCCCCCCCTCTCTCTCCTCTGCCTCCCAAGTACTGGAGATGAGCAAAATTTATGCGGAATAAGGCAATCAAATGATTATTCAGACAAGTAAGCTAGACAGAGCTCAGCTCTTGGGGGACCTTACAAACTCTTTATTTCATTGTTCACTAATCCATCTACCAGTTGGGACTTCTTTCTCTCCCCTGCTTCCCTCCCCCACCCCTTCCAAAATAGGGTATCACTTCATAGTCAAGGCTTGCCTCAAACTCACTTGGTGAACCAGGATGACCATGAACTTGCCAACTTCCTGGCCCAGCTTTCCAAGTACTGGGATTACAGGTATGCACCACCACTTGTGGCTCAGCAAGGGTTTCTGAGCACTTCTCGTTCTTGTGCTAAACCCTATGGAATACAAAGATGGCCCAGACATGGAGCCTGAATTCAAGTAACTCAAAGTGTGAAGAGAGTGGGGAGTGTGTGGCAGTGATAACAGGATTGTCTGACAAGCGTAATGATAAAAAGAAAGTGGTGCAGTTGGGGATACGAGAAACAAGGTGGGCTCCTCTGAGAAGGGGTGAGGAGTTTGGAAAAATGCAGGAAACTTGGTAGAGGAGGTGAACTTGCATTGAGTCATCAAAGAGTAGGTGGGATCATCAGTCAAGGCAGAGCCCAGTGTTGCAGTCAGAGTACAGTCAGGGACAGCCCTTTGAATACCCAAAGTGTGGCTGTTGAATTGTGTTGTGGATCAACTACTGTGACAGCAGAATGGGGATCAGAGGGGAGGAGCACAGACAGTATGTCCAGAGAGCTGCAAGGAACCTATGCAGCAAGGCCTGAAGGTGGACGAGCGGAGAGGAGTGGGCAAGTTCCACTGATATCTAAATGGTGACAGAAACTGGAGGACAAGTAGAGCCGAATGACTGAGATGGTCTAAGCAGAAGGAGCAGCAAGTTGGGGTGAGAAAAGAGGTTTTAGTCTGATCTTGATCAATTTTGAAAAGCTTATGGGGCACAAGTAGGAAGGGGTCCAGCTGGAAGTTGGACAGATCATCTTAGAGCTTAGCAGACATCTGGACCAACAGTATGTGACTGAGACTCTGGGGGAACAACATTTAAAAGCTAGAGAGTGTAAGTGCATTCAAAACTAAGGGGGAAACTGAGAAAAGGGTGTTCACAAAGCCCTGGGGATAGCCTTGGACAGAAAACCTCAACATAAAAAACAAAACATACCAGTGTTTCCTGGGTTCCTTGTATTTAACACACTCCAGGAAAAATAGCAATAGGATTTGTTCCAAGACAAGATTCTTCTGTTGTGTTTACATAGCACCTATCGTAAAGTAAGAACCTGATGAATATTTCTTGGCTATGTGTCATACATGAGCTCACTTTTCATATAATTATGTGTGTGTGTGTGTGTGTGTGTGTGTGTGTGTGTAGTTTGTCAATTTAAGGTCATACATACAACATTTTATACAGTTATATAAATGATATAACTTCTGTGTAATAATGCTGACATACACATGGCACTGTTTTAGGAATATATTTTAACTTGTAATGACTAGAGCAACTCTATTTTGTACAAAGTAGCCACCGCAGACTTTAAAAATCAGAAAAGCAGCCAGCTCAAGGTCAGGTCTGAACTTACTTTCCCTCAGAAGTGTTTTTCTCAGACACTGCAGCTGTGCTCCTTGCCTAGCCAAGGGAACTAACCAAAACAATATCCTGTCTTTCTTGTAAAATTCTTAAATACTACTAATAATAATCAGAAAAAATAAAAATAATAAAACAATAAAAATAATAAAATAAAAAAATAATAATCATCATGCCAATGTCTCTGTACATCTGCTAAGAAAATGACTAATAATTGCTCATTTTGCCTTCTCTAAACTTGCTTATTGATGCATTTAAGGGTCAGTGTGACCCCACTGTCCTTGCAACTGCTTGTGGTTTCTGCCTTTAAAAGCTTCCCTTCCCCTCCCAGTTTCACTGCACTCCCTCATCTGGCCTCCGGAGACTGTCAGTCTTGCTACAGCAATAAATTTGGCTAATTAAAATCTAATTGGGTCCGGTGGTCTTTTCCCAATGGTCTTGAACTCTGTAACAAACTCATTTAATTCTTCCTATTGGGAAAACACTATGTTTATCCCCATTTTTACCACTGGGGAAACTGAGGTACAGAATAGTGAGTAGCTCAGAATCACACGAGCAGTTAGTGGAAGAGATAAGACTTAAAGCCAGGCTGGGGAACAGGGTGTGCTGATACATATCTGTAATTTCAGCACTCAGGAGGTTGAGGCAGGAGGGCCATGAGTTTGAGGCCAGCCTGGGCTACATAGTGAGACCTTATCTCAAAAATGAATAAATATACAAGCCAGGCAGTCCATGCTTTTAGCTTCCCACTTGCTGCCTGTCACTCAGGAATATGCTAGCCGAGAGACTCTAGGATAGGGAATGGTAGAGTGAGAAATTTACTTTTGTTCATACTCCTGAATATTCAAAATACTATTTTTCCATATGCTGTGTTAACTTAATAATCAACTGAAAGTATGTTTGAGAGTCAGACTTTAGGCATCCCTTAGGACCTCATAGAGAGGTAGGTTCCAGTGGAGTCTTAACCCAGAGGTTAAGACAGCAGATTGATTGGTAGCTGAAGTTACACAGAAACTGGATCATTCACAAGAAATGAAACAAAAAGGAGACATGAGCTCACTTTTCATATAATTAAATTTCAGTCCCCAAAGAAGTCAGGCAGCATTTAACAGCATGATAACCAATTTATGGCTTTAATTTTTCCAGGGACTCCCGCCCCCTTTTTTTTTTTTGGTCTTTTTGAGACAGGGTCTCCCTGTAGCTCCAGCTGGCCTAGAACTTGCTATGTAGATCAGGCTGGCCTCAAACTCACAGAGATTCACCTGCCTCTGCCTCCTGAGTGCTGGGACTAAAGCCATGCTTCACCATGTCTGGCTCCAGGGAGTCTTTTTGAAAAAATGTATTGATGTAGGCTGGAGAGTTGGCTTAGTGGTTAGGGGAACTGGCTGCTCTTGCAGAGGACCCAGGTTCAATTCTCAGCACTCACAAAGCAGCTAACAACTGTCTGTAACTCTAGTTCCAGGGTATTTGATGCCCTCTTCTGGCCTCTATGCAAGGTGCACGACACAGGTGCACTTACATACATTCAAGCAATACACTTGTACACATAAAATAAAAACAATAAAATATTTTTTAAAATGTATTTGTGTACGTGTGTGTGCACATGTGCTTGTGTTCATGTATTTGTGTGTGAGGATGTGTATGCATGTGGAAACCACAGGCTAACCTTGGGTCTTATTCCTCAGGAGGCATCCACCTTGGTTTCTGTTGTTGTTTTTTGTCTTTTTGAGACAAGGTCTCCTTGTAGCCCCAGCTGGCCTGGAACTCATTATGTAGACCAGACTGGCCTTGATTCACCTGCCTCTGCTAGGATTAAAGGTATGCAGTACCACACCCAGCTCCCATCTTCATTTTTGAAGTGGGGTCTCTCACTGGAACCTACGGCTCATAGCTTGGGCTATGCCACTACACCTGGCTGTTTATGTGTGTTTTGGAGATCAAATTCAGACCTTCATGCTTGCAAGCACTAAGTACCTCCCAGTAAAACCAGCCCCCTCCTTCAAAGTTTCTCTTACTTGGAAATCCCCTTATACAGTCTTCTTCTTTTTCTTTTGGTCTTTTTGAGACAGGGTCTCCCTGTAGCCTCAGCTGGCCTGGAACTCACTATGTAGACCAGGCTGGCCTTGAACTCACAGAGATTTGCCTACCTTTGCCTCCCAAGTGCTGGGATTAAACGTGTTCACAACCACATCCGGCCCTCTTATACATTCTTACATACCCAATGCTCTGCAGTTTTTCTATCATGAGTAGACATTAGGCAATGCATTCCTATAACTGAAAAGATTAAAATCAATGAAAAAGGTGTAAACCAGGAAGTCTTGGGCTCAGCCATCCTGCTCTGTGTTGCACACCCTTGCTCCCTACAGCCACCCGTTGAGAACTTTTCAGTGATTCATAAGGCAAACAAAATGGCATTCACACACACATTGTTTTTTTTTTCTCTTCTTCTCCTCCTCCCCCTCCCCCTCCCCCTCCTCCTCCTCCTTCTTGATATAGGGTCTCACTTTAGCTCAGGCCTGCCTGGAACTTATATATCCCAGGCTGGTCTCAAACTCATGATCCTCCTACTTCAGCTTCCCAAGGGCTGGGATAACAGACAGGAGCCACCACATTTAGCTACATGTATTATCCGCTGCAGTGGACTTTTCTTGATCTCTTTCCCTTGTCTTTGACAATGACACAACACTCCATTGAGTTAGTGTAACTAGTCTGGAGTTCATTCCTTTGGCCTTGCTAGTGCTTTGCTGACCAGTGTTTTTTGTTGCGCTGCGCCTTTATTTTTAGAGTCCTTCCTAGTCATCAACTTCCTAGCAACTACCTACATTTCTACCCATATTCCCATGACAGAAAAGGAAGGCTTCCCCTTCCCTTTATGCCTTTTCTCTAATGACCCAATGGGCTCTAGTGTCCTCTATGGCCCTTAGGGTAGCAGCTCACACCTGTTCCTTCTGCTGATTAAAAACAGACACAGAGGCACCTCCAGCAATCTCTTGTCACTGGCAATTTTCACTTGTTGGAAACAGGTGTGCCAGGGTGGAAGCACAGGGATCAATGCTTGGACTGTAATTGTAAACACCTATAGACAGCTGGCACTGGCTGAACAGGTAGGAAGTAAAGGTTTTCTTTCTCCTTCATTATTAATCCCGTGTTTTAACATGACCCTGTGCTTGTCTAGTTGTTAACCTATAAATATACTAAAACTATACATGTTAGGGGAATGGGACTTGGGGAGGAGAAAAAACTCACCTGCAAAGATCTCATTTGCAGCTTGCTCTAGAGTGGGTGGAACGTTGTCTTTAATGGAAGATTATTACAGTTTAACAACCATCTCTCGTGTAGTGGGCTGACTCGGGATGGGTGTATTGTTTTCACGAAAGAATTGACATGTCCCCATCTGCTTCCTTTGAGCAAGTGCCTTCTCCCTTGTTTGGTGACCTGCTCAGGAGAGCTCCACTCTGCTGCCCACATGCCCACCCAGCTGGAGGTGGCCATGGACACGATGATTCGAATCTTCCACCGCTACTCTTGCAAGGAAGGGGACAGGTTCAAGCTCAACAAGGGGGAGCTGAAGATGCTGTTGCAGAGAGAGCTCACAGAATTCCTCTCAGTGGGTCCATTATTTTCCTGCCATATTTGGTTGAAAGTGGACAGGATGTGGTTGCAGGGGCAGGTTTTATGTACATTCTGTCTGTAATTTGTATCGAGACTCAAAGTGCAGAGGAAGAAAACACTAGAGATCTTTGTTTTCTTTGAACACCGGCAGGAGCCCTTTTCTATACTGCCTGGGGTTAGGTTTTCCAAATCTTGACAACTATATTGACATTTTCACCCAGTATTCACATTCTGGTGTAGCAATCAAAGAGATCACTTAGTTATAACAGAGGTTATTATTATGACTAGTTGTGCCTGAACTTTTATACATCTATTTATAAATTAACATTATACACTGAGTCTGAAATGAAGCCTTCGATAATTTATGCTGGATTGAAATTTTTTCTAGTGAATGACAAATACTTAGAGAGCTTCGTTAGCCAAGGCTAAGCTGAGTGGCCAGTGGCCAGTTGAGTAGCAAACAGATTCATATCTCAAAAAAATCAAGAGTCCAATAAATCTACACATAAAGCTTTATAGTGAGGGTTTGGGGTCTCCTCTGCAGAAACACTTCCTCTGATGTTCATGGAGCTGCCTTGAACTGATTTCATGCACGTACAATTGTTACATGGTATTATTCTGTCCAAATCCTGAAAGAAGACTGCACCCATTGTAATTACATCCTTTTCTCCATCCTCTATGGGAAAAGCATAAAGCAAAACATTTTAATTCTGTAACTCTTCACAATACCCTTTTACTTATTTTAGGAGTCCATGGGGTCATTTTTTTTCCTCTCAATTTCTGTTTGGCTACAGCATTGGTATAGCAATTAGAATAAAACATTTAATAGGCCAAACCTCATACATCATTCTATTCAAGTGAAAGTTCTGTTTTGGACAAGTTGATTTTGATCAATGAAAGTTGAGCTTCCAACTACTCAATGCTGTCTACTAAGGAGAGGACATTGGGGAACTCTGGCTCTGGGAAACATTTCTTATCACCCACTAGGAGTACATAGGAGTAGTGTGTGCTTTCCAGTCCCAACCCTTAGAACTTTGACATCCTACATGGACTTCTTGCTCTTCTTTCCATCCATAAAATGCAGGCATCTTAAGAAGGCAGCCTTTAGAGTGTGATATACACTGTGCTAAATAGGCCTGTGAGATAAAACAGTCTGTCTCATGCAATGCTAAGCACCTTCAAAAGTGTTGAAGCATTCCCAAAGCATGTGGCTGGATATTACTCTCCTCCTAGAATAAGAAAGGAAATTTAAAGGTGCTGAGTGTTCAAAATCCTATTGATGGTAAATGATAGAGCCCCCTCATTGTCCCTTTGAACTTCAAAGCCTCTTTTTATATGTCACCCGACTCTCTCCCCATGTGTCTTGATCTTCCACCTGTGATGCTCAATACACGCTTTTCCAGCCTGCCTGGCTCACTTGAACCTGCTGATACTCTCCTTGAGCTTCTTGGCTGAGCTTCAGATCTGAGCTGATATTCTGTGGACTTGGGATAAGGCTAGACTCTAAACTGGTTCATATCTTTCTGTAGATAGGCTCTTGGGAATTGTCTTCAGCTGCTAAAAAAAGGAAATTCAAACTTTCATGTAAATAAAAGATGTGATTTCAGTTGTCTTGAGCCTCAGATCCTCAGAGTTAGAAACTTTCTTTTTCTTTTTAGTGCCAAAAGGATCCGCAGTTGGTTGATAAGATAATGCAGGACCTGGATGCCGATAAGGACAATGAAGTGGATTTTAATGAATTTGTGGTCATGGTGGCAGCTCTAACAGTTGCTTGTAATGATTACTTTGTAGAACAACTGAAGAAGAAAGGCAAATAAAGATGAATAGTAAGCTAAATATGAGGCAGAAATATATTCAAAGTTATGTACTTACTGTGAGTCTGCTTCTTTCCCATCTATAGACACCATTATATGACTTATAGATGTAATATATGTATGCTGAATTGCTAGTATTATTAAATATGTATACCTTGATAAGTTGACTTTACATATATATTCCAAATCTTCTGATCAATTTAAAAAATTTACTTCTACTATTTAAAATACCATGTAAGCTGAATGTGGTGGTGCACACCTTTAACCCCAGCACTGGGGAGACAAGCAACTTGTTCTCTGTGAGTTCCAGGCAGGCCTGTTCTATGTAGTAAGTTCCAGGCTAGTCAGGGCTATACAGTGAGCTGTTGTCTCAAAAAATAAATAACAAACAAGCAAGCAATCAAAAATAAAATGTCATGTATTTGTCAAATAGAGTACATTCCAAAAAAATTAGCCACTTTAAAAAATGAGAGCCAAATTTGGTGAATTTCTAATCCTTGAATTGTGTTTTGAGCTTATTTCCCTACTAAAGAGATGAACAAGCTCTCCCCCTATTATCCCAATTGTGTTTCAAAATGAAGAAGCTACAAGGGGCTGCAAACAGAAAGGCTGGTAAAGAGAAGAGCCGACCTTCTCAGTGATCAGAGGGTGGGTGGATTCAGGGCTAGGTGCTCAAGTCCAGAGAGCTGGAGACAGCAGCTCTTGGGAGTTGATATGTAAATATCCTCCCTTGCCCCTAGGGCTGGATAATTCAAAGACAAGTGTTTTATAGCAGTTCCTAGAGCTTCTCTTGGGGTTAAGCTGCAGTGGGCCCATGGGAGCCCGCTTCCTTCCCTGGCCCTTTCTTCTCTCACCATACTGCCCCAACTCACGTTTCTAGCATCTCTCAAGTAAATGACTTGTACATAAATCCTTGACTCAAAGTCTGATTCTGGGGACACAAACTATGACAGATCCTAGGGAGAGTTTGAAGGAAGGAAGTAGTATAATCATGCTCATACTTTAAAGTGAGGGCTCTAAGTACTGAGTGAAAGAAGGGCTATTGAGATGGTGACTGTAGAGGCCAGGCACCAGTCAGGAAGCTGCTGCTGTGGTCTGGATGAGAGGCCATGATGGCTCAAGCCAGGATTTAGTAATGGAGATGAAGGCAGGCGCTGAAGTGTGTGGGAGGAGAGGCTGGTGGGGTCTGTGCAGGATGACAGTGTAGCCACTTCTGTTGGCCTGATACCAATCTGTCTTTCACCATAATTAGAATCCTGTTTCTAAGGGTGGCAATGACCATGGCTAAAAGTACTCCATTTCCTAACCAATTGTACTGCTGGGGGAGGTGGGCTTAGAATACAACCCAGATAGGGAAAGAGAAGCAGAGGCCCACTAGGAACTTCTGGGACTGTGTGTTGGAGGCCCCATACCTTCCACCTTGTTAATGCTTTCATTTCCTTTCCCTTGAAATGAGGATGAGGCTGGAAGTGGTGCTTCTATCTTACCACCCCAAGGACAGTGGAGAACAGAGATAGAGGGGTTGTCAATACAGAACACAGCTCTCACCACAAAGGGCGGAAGAACTAGCTTATTCTAAGTAGATTATGAGAGACTATGGTCAAGGAAACAGAAGGAAACCCAGGAGGATGTGGTGCTGGAGAAAGGTTCAAACAGACGGAAAGGGGTGAAAGCTACTGATTTCATCTACTAAGGAGTAAGATAAGAACTGAAGATCTGTTCTTAGAATTGGCAAGGTAGAGGTCATCAAGTCAGTGGTGCTGATGAGGCTGATTTTGATTTCAAAGGTCTCACATCCTAACCAGCAAGTAGTAGGTTCTTGATAAATATTTGTGTAAGGAACAAATGAAGGAACTTGCCAGTCATTGACTTTCTAGTGCTATGATCTATCCTGTTTCCCTTAAATAGAACAATATTTTTTTTGCCTCCTTCAAACTGGTTCTGAGCAGGGAGTTCAGGGAAATTTTACAGGACAGAGCACTCAAGAAATCTGTTCCCTTGGTAGTCACTTCGTCCTGTCTTTCAAAAGGATAGAAGAAAAAAAAACAAAATCAACATGTATCCTGCCTGTACCTAGGTCCTTACAAGTTGCTATATCCATGCAGGAGAGGTCTGGACATTCTCAGGCGCCTTTAAACTTTTCATTTTAATTTGATCTGAATTTTACATATTCTAAAGTGGGTCGTTGAAACATCAACAGTAAATTGAATTTTTTCCTCACATTCTATTCTAGGAAGGACATTCTACACACAGAGAAGTAAATGGAAAAACAAAGTTCATTTCATGGTATTTCTGAAAATCCATCAGAAGTGGGGAAAAGCAATTTATGTCTCAAATTAGATTTCAAATGAGTAATAATTACACGATGTACAAAGATCCCTCTCAAGTAAGCCAAAGCCTTTCTTTCCTTTCTTTTTCCTGTTTGTTTACGATACACATAATAATTTTGTAGGAGGTAAAACTGATTAGTACCTATATCCAGGGACACTAACTTTTCTTTGCACTTGGAGTTTAAATAAACTTGAAGTTTAAACATTTGAGGTCTGTCTCTGAGTGGGTACCTGTTAATGCCCATTTGCTGAGGTCATTAGATAGAGCAGTTTATAGGACGCAGTGGTCCAAGTCTGCCTGAAAGCCTGGGTTGGAGATGTACCTGACTGTACTAGAACACTGAGAGAAGACAGCATCTTCAAATTTAATTCTAAAAATACATTTCTCTCCTTTCTCCAAGGAGAATGGAATCAAGGAAGGCTTTCCAGGGGCAGAGGTTAAAGTCAAGTCTTTAGTAAGGCAAAGAAGTGGAGGAAGGTTATTAAAGGAAAATGTCAGGCCTGTACCAGCAGGGGCTGTTTGGGAAAGTGCAAGTTCTAGAGCATCCAAGGGTGTGGGGTAGGGAGGGCAGGAGGAGCAAATTGGACTCAGAATCAGAAAAGTCATGGATGCTAAGATGAAGTTGTTGTATTTTAGAAAATCACTGTGGAATTTAATACATTTTAATTTTTTATTTAAATCATTTTTGTTTCTGTTTCTAAATGGCCTCCTTAAAGTTTTAAGCAGTGGTTAGAAATCTTATTTACATTATACTTGGCTACACTACATTTTAAAACATAGGTATATACACTAGACATGATGATTCATATATGTAAGACTAACATTTTAGAGGCTGAGGCAGGAGGATTGCTTCAAGTTCAATGCCAGCTTGAGCTACATAGCAGGTTCTAGGCCAGCTTGGATGACAGAGAGAGACTCTGTCTCAAAAAAACTGAAAACAAAAATAGGTAGGTAGGTAGATAGATTAGATAGATAGATGATAGATAGATAGATAGATGATAGATAATAGATAGCTAAGCCCCAGTCCCACCAATATTCTAATTTATTTCAGTAGGGTCCCAGCATCAATACTCAGATTTTCAACGAGCACTAAAAGTCACTGGGGGCTGGAGAGGTGGCTCAGCAGTTAAGAGTGCTTGCTGCTCTTTCAGAGGATGAGAGTTCAGTTCCCCACATCCACGTCAGGTGGCTCACAACCGCTTGTGACTCCAGCAACTCGGGAATCTAATGCCCTTTTCTGGCCTCCTTGGGTGCCCACAAGCATGTGGTATATACACAGACACACAAACTATTAAAACTAAAAATAAATCTTTTAAAAACCTTTACTTAAATGTGAGGGTTTCCATCAAATAATCAGATCAACACTTGACTGAGAGGCATCTAGAAAAGCAGAGGCTCTGATTTTAATGTGCATATGAATCACCTGCAGATCTGATCATTTTCCCTAGATCTGGGTAGAGCTTGAGAGTCTGCATTTCTATAAACCTGCAGGTGTTGCAGATGTTACTAATAGAAACTGTCTAGACTCTAGGGTGAAAGGAAGAGGTTTGAATGGTCACATTGAGGAGTGGTTTAGGAACACAGGCAACCTAAGATAGTTCTTGCTGAGTCATACTTCCTTTGGAAGAGATAAATCAACACAAGGTACAGAGAAGTGGTGGGGAGACATGGGACATGGGACAGAAGACGACACAACCACAGAGGAACATTGCCCTGGGCCTGGGTTAATGGAGAAGTGGAGGGAATGAATACCACCAGATTGCCTCATGTCAAGTCTTGGGCAAGTTACTTAACTTCAAGTCTCATTTTCAGGCATGTGTTGGCTATAGTAGCTCAGGAGACTCAACCAGCAGCATTTTGTTTTGTCTTGTTTTTTTTTTGTTGTTGTTGTTTGGTTGTTTTTTTTTGTTTGTTTGTTTTTTGGTTTTTTTTCTTTTGAGACAGGGTCTCCCTCTAGCTCCAGCTGGCCTAGAACTCACTATATAGACTAGGCTGGCCTTATTCTCACAGAGATTCTCCTGCCTCTGCCTCCCAAGTGTTGGGATTAAAGGCATGTACCACCATGCCTGGAAAAAAAATTGTTTTTAAAATATTTTGCTTATTTTTATTTTTGTGTATGAATGTATTGCTGACATGTATGTAAGTGCACCTGTGTTGTGGAATGCTCAAAGAGATCAGAAGAGGGCATTGGAGCTTTTAGAACTGGAGTTATAGATGGTTGTTACCTGTCATATAGATACTGGGAATTGAACCCAGGTCCTCTGCAAGAGCAGCCAGTGCTCTTAACCACAGAGTCATCTCTCCAGCCTCACAATATAACCTTTCAAAATCCCACAGTCTTTTAAAAATTCCAATTATTTATTACCTGGGTGTGGTGGTACAGTCCTATAATCTCAGCACTCAGGAAGCAGAGGCAGGTCATTTCTGTGAGATCCAGGCCAGGCCAGCTTGGTCTACATAGCAAATTCTAGGCTAGCTGGGAGACCCTGTTTCAAAACAAACAACAAACAAAATATTCTGATGAGTTCAAGTCCAAGAAAAGTCCAAGCTCTCTTTCAAAGTCCAAAGTCTCTCAACTGTGGGCTCCTGTGAAAAAAAGTTACTTGCTTATTTCAAAAAAGAATAATTGGGCACACTTAACAAAACCAAAGTCCAACAATGTAGCTCAGTGTCCAACATCTGGGACTCACAATCTTCTGGGCTC